CACGGCACACCAAGTCATACATCATGAAGAAATAAAAGCATGCTGAAACTAACACTAGTAACAGAAGTTCGAAGGCCAACATTTCAGATGGCCAAGAACATCAGCTAGACGTTACATATTACATCTTTTGAAATAATGGGCCTTGAAATACTGAAAGACGACAACAAAACTCAAGTGTGGATCTAAATAACTTACTTCTTCTCTAGACTGGGCTGAAAACTGTTTGGCCGTCATTGCCTCCGAAAAATTAAGCCCTGAAGGCAGACAAGAGAGACAGTACGTGTTATCTGGTACATTGAGGCGTGTGGGACGCTGGGGCTTGTACTGGTGGCGAGGCTCCCCCAGAGGTTGCCCCAGTGAGAAGGGCGACAACTGCCCTCTGGTGGTGGTGGTGGTACTCCCCACAGTCAGGTTGCTGGTGGAGTACGACGAGGGGATGGGCTGCACTGTTGGGTTGGTCCTGATACTGGAAGTTGATGCTGAGGTCGGCAGTCCTTGAAGTGGACTAGGAGACCGTCGTAAATATACGTGCAACATTACGGATGTCAGAGATACACTTCAGAACACTGAACTCCTCCGCAGATCTTCTTAATGTCAATATGTTCTTTTCGATGATTTTGCAGGACGTCTCTCAAAACCTCCTTTTAACGATTTTATAGGATGATCCAACACACCAAAGAAGGGTTCTTTCAGTGCGTATTCTTAATGACCTTGAAGTACGATTAGACGAAAAAAGGAATGGACAGTTTCAGAATTCCTGTGTTTGTTAATAATTCAACGCGCGAAATAAAGGATTCTTTCACAAGTTTATGTTAATCATCTTTCAGCATGTTTCAACAGAAAAATGTAAAGGATTTTTTTTAAGAAATTCCGGTTTAGGATTAGTAGGGTGAAATAAGAAATGTTTATTCTACCGATCTCCTGGTTATGAGTTGTATGTTAATATCGACTGAACATGATTTAATTTTCAGTGTTGATATTATAGCGATTTCTTCTATCAGTCAATTAATAACAAGTAATGCACAATTTCGTCACAGGATGCCGTGATATGAATTCATCTATACATATGACTATTTGAAACTGGATGTTCTTCATTCACAGGGACGTCATTCGACTATGATCAAACTGATATCTTAAGTGCACTGCAAGCTCCAACATACGGAGCAGAAACTATATGAACACGCAAGAGACAGATCACTTTACTCTGGTAACGAATGAGATACACTGACAAGAAAAATATCAACGTATGGGGTTTATGAACGAACCATATTGACATTTTGACACAGAAAAATCTGGTGGCATTTGATGTCTGATCATTGTGGTATAGTCACTCGAGCGACATTTTATAACCTTTTCAAAGGTCAGGCATTACTGACAAAGAATGGAAACTTTATTGTATGAAACAGACTGTTGTACGTGCACAGATGTGTTCTTGGCGGAATAAATCTTTCATTCGGTTACGAGTGATGTCGTGTTGTCACTGTTGTTCGCTTGTTTCTATAGATTTACGTCATGCAGTTACGATACGTGACTTCTTCAGGCAGCGGCAGATAACTAATTAGGATGATTACGAATGCTAAATGACAGTGGAAGAACAAGCAGCTACACCCATATTTGGTCTACTATACGAAAAGAAAGGAAATGCCTTCTTTGCTATTTTGCGTGCCTCGATTAACTTAATGTTAATGTACTACGATTTATCGAAAGCGCCTGTTCTTTGCACAGGGCTTTGTTAAACGAAACTGCAGTAAAATAATTAAATTGCTTACATATTACGATAATACTGTGAATATAGTTCGAGATTCCCGTTGACCAATATCCTATTGAAGATGGCTGTCTTCTGGAATGTTGCGCCGTGTAGTCTGGCAGAAGTTTATCGACATTTCAGAGGTCCTTACTGCCTCCATCATCAGGGCGTGGAAACTTTTAATGCACAAACCGATCATTCGTCGCCCTGATGATGGAGGCAGCAAGGACCTCAGAAGCACTGGTAAACTTCTACCAGACTACACGGCGCTACAACCCAGAAGACAACCATCTTCGGACTCACCGCAGCGAAAGGATCAAATCCTACTTCGAAGAACATTTTCGTTAGACGGGTATGTTACCCTGAAATTAAATCCTACGGATTCGGGTTTGGAACCATGGAAATCCCTCCTCGAGCCACAGTATTCCGTGTGGCACAGATTGGTAACCGTGTGTGTATCTACTAGCTGAGACAGCCAATAGTGAAAATGAATGATAAGTATTTGCAGACGAAACAACAAAAGGTTATGTGTTTCTTTCTCAGAAGTACCAGGAGTTTGTTATCAGCGGTTCTCAGAAACATTATGTTGGCATTTTTAGGCTGCTTTCTTTTTCTGACGAAATAAAGTAGACTTATATGAAAACTATCTGCCTGAGCATATGTACCCCTCCTTCAGTTTGTAACTAATTCATACGAAACTTGGAAAAAATTATACCACTGGAGACAACACAACCCTCCCACTGTTTGATTTCCTAGTTCGTAATAACAGCACGGCGGACGCGTTAAATGGTGATGTTGGAGCCACATTAGAGCCACTTAGTATAGATGCTGAAATTGTATGTGGTATCTTCGAGAAATATGTAATTTTCGCAAAGGCAATTTCTTCTAAAAGGCAAAACAACAGCATGACGTCTAAGCAAGAATTGTCATTAGCTTACAGTTAGCTATGAATCATTGGAACTAAGCGTTTGAAATTTTCTACGGAAACAGATCATTAACAGGCCTACAAATTGTACATATATTATTGTTTACAAACATTAAAGAAACATTGCAAAGGTGCGAATCTTTGATGTCATATCCGATACATGTAACTCATACAGAATACGTACTTTAGTAAGAAGTTCTTTCAACAAAGTGCATAAAATGGGCGCCTAATGGGGAGGATCCGGTCTGCAAGTTTCTTCTACTAAACCACGCTTCCGAGTTTGATTCAGTGTCGGGCACTGTTCAGTTTGCAATTCAAAAAACTTGTAACTTATGCAAAATATGCAACGATTTCTAATACCATTTTGTCTAAAGGCGAGAGCTACAACATGGCGAGTGTGCAAACTGAGCGGATTTAATGACAATAACTGACAAGGGAATTAAAGTGCGGTCTGGTGGAAGTTACAATTTACGAAACATTACGTCATCCTTTGCTAATGTGCGAAGGTTTGAAATGATGCGTCTAGCAATTTTTGTATCAGGTTGTGCAGTCCCTTCCGACCAAGTTATGATTAAAAGTGCCAAAGAAGACGAATTGCTGAGGAGAATATTTTGAACTAAAAACACAGAACAGGGAATGAAGATCATTACTGGATGAGGAGGAATTTTATTTAGTGTTAAGATTTCTGTCTTCTGTTGCGCTGTGTAGTCAGGTCGATGTTTACCTCCGTTATCAGGGCGATTCATCGCCCTGATGACGGAGGCAGTATGATCCCTGAAACGTTGGTAAACATCGACCAGATTACACAGCGCAACAGAAGACAGAAATCTTCATACTCACCGCTGTGAAAACCTCAAATCTTACTTATTGAGTGTTGTCAGAACATCAACGAAAAAAAGAAATGAAGACGGAAAGATGACGAGGCATAGATGTGAGTACGGTATTAAAATGAATAGTGGGGACTCCTTTGAGATACTTCGCTTGATTAAACTGGTTGGGTAAAGGGACTAGTAAGAGGTCTTGTGGCGACGACGCTAAATTTTCAGTTTATGAAAAATAGAAGCAGGAAACTTCCTGAGAAGCAGAATAAGAATAACTCTTCGCCCGGATGATGGAGGCAGCAAGTACCATTGGAACGTTAGACTACACGGGGATACAAACCAGAAGACAGTCATATTCAGAATTGCTGTGGGTTGCTCAAGGAAAATCCTGAATCTGGGAACGAATTATTTTAAATGCAGTTTTATTCACGAAAATATTGTCATTTTTCTGATAATAACATGGTGACCGCGCGAATTATTTTCTCTTCGATGAACACACGATACATAAGAAAGTCAAGTTTTGTATGATAGATGATTATAAATGGGGCCTCTATAATTTACCTACAATTTATGGAAGTTTCATTTGATACTGCGAAGTGTTAGCACTATGATGGTGAAAATATCTTTGAAGCTATGTATAACAGAAGCCGGTCTGTAATAGGTATATTTCCGCCCAAGCTATTATTTTGTAATTCGAATAGATTTCAAAGTAATGTAAATTCGCAGCAAGCAAAGAATTCGAAATTCGTATTTTTCAAGTAATTCATCAATATTCGGTTGCAACTTTCTTTCATTTTATATTAACATATATCGATGATGGTGTTCTCGGTTTTAACGTAGTGTGAACATGTATGTGTAGACACAAACGTATGGTCCTTCGAAACGTTGCTATATATCTACAAGTCCAAAATATGTTAAAAAAACCGAACTCACATCTTTTACTTCAATAAGAGAACATTCTAATAACATAGAACTTGGCGTCATATTTAAAATAGTACTCACCTGACATTTCTACACCACCAGATGACAAGGCAATGACAGTATGGAAGAATTGTCGTTATTTTCTTCCCTTGAATTCTTTACCTTTTTCATACGCGTTTCACCTCCATCACCACCTGTCGAGTTTTATAAACTCTGCAAACAGTAGCCATAAATAACAACTTGCGTTCCCCCTGGCTCTTCACTATTACTGGGACAAAACTGGAGAGCACGCGACCAACAGACACACACATGGACGTACCGCTTTTGTACGAAACAGCGTACACATACACACACACAGCAACAGTCGATCGATCTGCAGGACCGGCTACGGTCTGCGCTCCCCTCGACGCAACGTACGCATTTGTGATATGCGACACTCGCTGCGCTCAGCTCGTCGGCGGACTGCGCCATGCACCAAACCTTTCATAGAAGCTTATCCCGAATGCATTGCGCCCATTATTGTTGCCAACTGGATAACTGCATCAACAAGATAACGATGAACGAATTTTAGTGTTGTTCTGCCTAGTAAAATTTGAAAGGGAGTTTTGGAATGGCAAATTGAAAGAGCAGAGCCAGTTCTCATACTCGTGCCCTAAAGTTCGTTTCCTTTGTCTAAGTGCTGACTGTTCACCACTATCCATGAGCAGCACTGCCAAAGCTTCGGAAAAAGCTATTTCCATCACCAGGCATTTTTCAAACATACAGTGCCCAAACATTTCCTTTTAAACAAAGTACTCGTAAATCATGGCCAACAATAATCAGGATTCTACCAAGTTTTTCCTTTTCTGAAGTTTATATGAAACCAGACAGTGTGATAGGCGTGGTTCTCACGATTTATTGTTGGTTGGCTTTGTTTTCATTTGCGAGTTTCATCTTATGGTAGGCCTAACTGCCACTTTAAATTTTGCTATCGATAAATATTAATATTAGAAATTCTTTAACAATTTTCTGTTCACAAACTGTATGGATTTCAGTGGTGGAGCACTAAAATTCTCTTTCATGTGCCCGTGTGTCCTAGTTCCGTCGATTTGTAACAGTATTAAATTTTGTTTCATCTGTTACATTCTGATATAACACAGGCATAATACAGAAAAAAAAATTCAGTCACTACAAACTAACTTCCTTTGTGAAACATCTCCCTTGTTATAATTCATCACAAGATTGGAAATGTACAGTTCATATTAAAGTGCACACATTTCACATGCGGTCTTTTTTATCTCAGCATTCTAAATGGTCCTATGCACATATATATATATATATATATATATATATATATATATATACACACACACACACACACACATATATTTCCTTCTGTTTATGGAGGTCTAATGAAAGAGATAACCTACAGGAACAAAGTACATGAGATAGGAAGTACATCAGATTATGGTTGATGCTGTTTGCATACAAGAACACCCCAAATTATTCAAATTCTTGATTTATCTCATTCATTTCATCATCATCGTCTATGGTCAGCTTGACCGTCGTGACCCCTTACAGGGTTTTATTGCGAAAGCACCACTGTGGTTTCGCCTTGCCTTCCGTGGCCAGTCTTCACCCACCAGACTGGAAGAGGAGACACGGACAAACATCCATGCCTTGGTGGGACTTGAACCCACGGTCGCAGCTGCCAGACGCACGAGGTCCATGCCTCAGACCACGTGGCCACTGCCAGCATTTATCTCATACAATGTACGAATACATTCACATGATTAATACTCTTATTTATTTTTCTGTGTACCTTAAAACTGCCACAGCTAAGCAACAGGACCAATGTTGTATTAATATTTTTTTACAATATTACCTCTGGACCCCCCCTCTCCCCCCACATGTATGGCAGACTAGTTGTGAAACACCCTAAATGCCTAATAACATTTCCCACAGAAAACAGAAATACCACAACAATAATTTATTAATTATAGGGAAATACAGTTTGACTTCATCACAACATTAATACAAAATAGAATATAATTTTACCTGATATTAAGTCCAGCTTCCTCTTTTACATATAGTTATGGTCTCACAACCAAACCAAACAGTTCATACTGAGAAATGGAGGGGCTACTGATAAATCCCTTATGAACTTCTAATATTTGTGCAGTCTATTTTAAACACAAAAATGTATTTCAGTGTAAATCTTCTAAGGAATGTAACTAGTGGCTGGAATATCCATCTAGAAGAATTTTAAAATAACAAATCACTTAAGGAAGTTATAAGACTGGAGGCATTCTGGAAAAAATAAATCACACAATATAAAATTTTGGAAAGCAAATACAGAGTTGCCCAATTGCCAATACATTTCAGGGGTGAGTAAAATATAACCTGTGGGCTGGAAGCAGCCTATGAAACAATTCAATCTAGCCTGCAGTGATCAGTTATAACATGGTCCTTGATCAACCCTTGGCTTATGATACATATTATGTAACATTACTGTTATGAAAAAAAACTCTATGATCTGACAGAAATTAAAGGTTTTGGTGTTCTCAAACACATGCACATACTATTTTCATATCCAGTACTGCTAACCGGTTATCACAGGGCCAAATGGGGCCACTCCAGATACGGTTTACCCACCCTTAGTAAGCTTACTACACAATGGCATACTGCCAAACAATATACTAATATTTCAGGCAACTGCTGTATGAACCAAATTAAATTCTGTAAATCTTTTGTCTCAATCATGAAAGTAGGCCTTTAATTTTAATTGCTAGTAAAATAATAATCATTCCATTATATGTTACAAAAAGCCCAAAATTAAACTTCTGATTGTTTTAGGATTATTCACAACTGGTTAAAATGTTAAACTATGTAACAATACACAATTTCCATGCTGTGAATGAAATATTTTGTTCAGAAACACTGGCTTTGTTGGAGTTGGAACATTCTTATTTGAAAATATCAGTGCGAACAAACTTCTCCTATGGTGTTCAACTCTTTGAAATTACTATACTTTGCAATGGAAATACACAAAGGCATTTTAGCATCAGAGAAGACTGAGCATTGAAACGACTAATATGGCCTCCATCCCACACAGATTGAACATGACCAATGCACACACCACAATACAAAAATTATAAAATGCACATTAGGCACTGTAAACAAGTGTTACAATCTTATACAACTCATCTAATTTTATGTTGTAGTAAAGAAACTGTTATGAAATATTCTTTAAGATTTTAAAAATATATTCTTTTGCATAATGAAGGCGCTCATTTATTTTTATTCATCACTTTTTGAACAAATTCAAAATCAGAAGAAATTATAATAAAATGTTTCATAATTACATACATTTCATTTAAAACTCAGTTCAGACAGTGCACTAAAGAAGTGGACCTGCACTACACTGTAGAGTTTACATATGATTCAAGGACTTGGTTACAAAAGATGTAACTCCATTTTTATAAATTTGTAAAAACATAAAAATGTACAAATTTACGTAAATATATGTTAAACACAAAATTCAGGGATATTATGAGTAATTTAATTCAACTACTTGGTGTGGTTTTCTAAATCAAATGGCAACAAAATAATTCTTCAGATCAAAATCTTCAATTCAGAATATCTAAACTGAACATGGTAATATATTCTCTAACACTCAAACAACAAATGCCATAATATGACAATGTTCTTCTCTTATATCAGAACACCATAACTCATGGTGCTTAGATTAGATAGATGGATAGTAAAAAGGTTTCACAAACTGATACAGCATGAAATAAGGTTATGTGACTCATACTGTACTTTGCATATAAAAAGAGGGGTAAGGTAAGGGTAAACTGTCCATATACATGAACCACTAAGGCACAGAGGAATGGTAGGGGTACATTCGTAACAATGCAATTAGATGAAGACGAGCAGCCAGCTTTACAATCTAAGCACTTAAGCTGGGTGGGGCACAGAGCTGGTATAAACAAGGAAACATAGTACCAGAAATAAATTGCGCTCCTCCTGAAAAGTTAATTTCAGTTATTCAAAACAGACCAGTATGTTAAAGATTAGAATAAACCAACAGTAGTTTCTAAACGTAATTTACTCAGCTTTAGTAGATTTATTTCCCATAAGTATCAATAAAGAATGATACCTGCCACTTTCCTTCTAATTCATCAAATTTAACTGGGGGAGAGGAGTTAAATAATAAATCTGAACTTCTTATGTATTCCTATAAAGTAATAAAATCTTTTGACATGTAATCACTGACTTTATCTGTAATGCAGTGTTTAACTTAATCTCCATTACAACTAAAATTGATAATAATTTACAGTGCAGTGAAAATCCACTTTTCACCATCTATAAAATTCACATAAGACCTATCTAAAACAAATACCATTTTTTCCACATAAAAGCACAATTTATGTTTTTTTATGCTGATGGAATCAATGTCCGTTGTTTACACACTCGTTTGACCGGCATTTAACTACTACCTAGTCAAAAGAATTAATACAATTCACTATTTCATTGTATGGATGTGATTGTCATTGTAACAAACTGACAAAATTCCTCTTGAGTACTAAAAACATGCTGTTTGCAACCAAAATTCTTAACAATTGAATATTTTCATGCAACTAACTTTTACAACTTGCATTGCATAAAGATGTGTATATAATCATTTTAACCACTTGCCTTACAAATTTATTTCCAGATATGGTATCACTCAAATTATATTATTAGTTAAATATTATGATCTTTGAACATAAATAAAGTAATGTAAGTTAGTCATTTTTAAAGTGTTATAACACAAAAAGATTTTCTGCATGTAACAGCTTCATTATTATCCCATACTATCTTGGGCTGTGCTTAGATTTTTGTGCAGTGTGTCAGAACTGAATTTTTCACCTCCAGCCATTGTAGAGCTTCTATGTCAACAGAACAGTATGAACCTGTCTGTAATATCCACTTCTGTCCTAGAAGTTTCTATCACTTCATTGTTATAACTGACACAATTGCTTTTGTGTTCCACAGTCATAAAATAATGTCACACCTGTCATCAAAATTATGTGCAAAACTGTCAAATATAAATATAATATAATAAAGACAAAGGAGTACAAAAGAAATCTACCAGAAGTAATATCTGTCAGTAAAGTACTGATTAATGGTCCAGCAATACACTCAAATTATACCTAGGAACAAAAGAAACTGGAATAATAATAATAATAATTCAATTCCATTCATTCATTAGAGTGCTTGGCAACAGCCAAATGAGGCCAATAACAGCCAAGCACTAACAATAAATATAACAATAGAAAATCAAATAAACAACGAACTAAATATATAAATGTACAATATAATAATGATAATATATCAATTCATTAATTTATTAAAAATAATTAACAGTAAATGAGCTAAATAATATGCCTAAAAGTGAAACATCAAAATAAAAAAAATTAAAAAAAAAGTAATAATAATAATCTGTACCCACAAAATGTTAAC